GTATTTAATTCTTTTAGATGCTATCGTAGATAGAACTGTGTTCTTAATTTCCTTTTGGGATTGTTCACTGCGGGTATATAAAAACACAGCTCATTTTTATGTTGATCTTGTATCCTGCAACTTTGCTGAATTTATTAATGCTAGTAGTTCTCTTGTGGATTCTTCGAGACTTTCTATATATAGGATCATGTCATCTGCGAATACAGTTTTCTCTCTCCCTTTCCAATTTGGATCTTTTAATTTCTTATCTAAAGCTCTAGCTGGAACTTCCAGTACACTGTTGAACAGCAGCAGTGAAAGTGGGTATCCTTATCTCAGGCCTTCTGATTTTAAAGGGAAACTCTTCAGTCTTTCACCATTGAGTATATTAGCTATGGGTTTTTCATAAATACCCTTTATCATATTAAGGAACTTTCCCTCTAGTTCTAGTTTTCTAAAAGACTTTATTATGAAAGGAGGTTCAATTTTGTCAAATGCATTGTCTGCATTGAGATGATCATGTAGGTTTTTTTCTTTCATTCTATTAATGTATTGTATTATATTGATTTTGTGTTCAATCACCCTTATATTTCTGATATACATCCACTTGGTTATGGTGAATTATCCTTTTAATAGGCTGTTGGATTTGATTTGCTAATATTTTGTCGAGGATTTTTACATCTAAATCCCTAAGAGATACTGACCTGAAATTTTCTTTCAGGTGATGTTCTTATCTGACTTTGGTATCATGGTACTACAGATAGTAGATTGACTTTGATCTTGGGGTTGTGGGTTTGAGCCCCACATTGGGGCTCATTAGATTACTAATCTCATGTAGAGATTACTAAAAAAATAAACTTAAAAAAATAAATATTTGGTAGAATTCACCAGTGAATCCAACTGGTTTAGGACTTCTCTTTGTTGGGAGGCTTTTAATTAGTGATTTAATCTCTCTTTACTTGTTATAGATCTGTTGAGATTTTCTATCTCTTCTTAAGTCAGTTTATGTAATTTGTATTTCAGGAAATTTGTCCATTTCTTCTAGGTAATCTAATTTGTTTATGTATAATTATTGACAGTGTTGACATACAATTATTCGAAGTGTTCTTGTGTAATCCTTCTATCTCTGTAAGGCCAATAGTTATGTCTCCACTTCCATTCCTGACTTTAGTTATTTGCATCTTCTCTCCTTTTTTTCTTAGTCAATCTAGCTCAAGTTTTGTCAATTTTGAACTTTTCAAATAACCAATTTTGTTTTCACTGATTTTCTGTATTTCTATTCTGTTTCATTTATCTCAGTTCTAATCTTTACACATTCCTTCTTTCTGTTGGCTTTGTATTTGGCTTGCTCTTCTTTTCTAATTCCTTAAGGTGTAAACTTAGGTTATTGGTTTGAGATATTCTTTTTTAATGTAAGCATTTACAGCTATAATTTTACCTCTGAACACTGCTTTCACTATAAGTTTTGGTATGTTGGTTTTAATTTTCATCCATCACAGGGTGTTTTCTAATTTCTCTTGTGATTTCTTCTTTGAAGAAGAAAGCATTAGGAAGCTTGCACGTGGATTCTTTCAGACTCCATGTGTCTCTTTCCCTTATGATCTGGCTATATATCCTTAGTACACCACTGTAATAAATCTTAGCCATGAGTACAACTACATGCTGAGTCCGATTAGCTCTTTCTAGTGAGTCTCTGAATGCGAGGGTGGTCTTGGGGATTCGCCCACAGATTGATATGAGGATTAGATTGCTTAATACACATAAAGCATTTAGCACAATACTTGGCTCATGGTAAATTCTCAAAATAAGAATAGTGATGATTATAGTGACAATGGGGATGACCGGCACACAGCCATGAACAGAACAGGTGCTCAAGGTCAATCAATCCAATTCCCATCCTTCCCTCTATCCTCTCCCTCTATATGCGCTCATATCTAAGCCTCAACCCAATACCTTTATAATGGCATCTCAATGCTGGCAAGTACCTCAAGTTCAGCTTCCTGTTTGACACAGCAGAACAGTAGGGCCCAAGGAGGTAAACTGAAATGTCCAGGGTCATGTCATGAGTTGGTGACAAAGTTGAAACAAGAACCCAAGTTTGCCCTTTAAGTTCTATACTGACTTCACTGTCACCTGGTGTATGTGCTGCAGACTAGGAGTAAAATAATTAACCCGGGGCTAGGCTGTCAAGAACCAAGCTGCCATGGAGGCAGAACCTTAAAACCTAGGAAGGAAAGGAAAAATAAGGAACCTTGAAAGCTAGGAAGGGAAAGAAGGCATAAATAAGTCCAGGGCTAAATTAAATGAGACTATTATTTGATCTAAAGGCAGAGTAAAACAATTGCTCCCCTGCATCTCCATTTCGACATTACCGTTGTTGACTTCTGGGGTGAGGCAGTGGGCAGGAAGTGGCAGGCGCTAAGGGAGCAGTCAGTATCATCCAGCATTGGAACAAAGGGCAAACAAGAGGCAGGGGACAGCCAGTACATCTGGACTAGAGAACCCCCAAAGGAGAACCCCGATATAGAAACCGGAGCAGGTAAATGGAACCCTCCTATCCGTGCACGACTGCTCAAAATTCCGGGCCATATGTGAAAGAAGACACCAGACGGGACCAGAGACCCGCTTGAGCCCTGTCTACAGGCCTCAAACCATGCCCCCCCTCCCCCGCTCACCATGAAATGTGCAAATGAAGTGTTCAGGAAAGGGGCACAAAAAAATGTTTAAGGACAGCCGAAACAATGCTCCCGCCAGGCTTATGAGGTAAGAACTCTCAGGAATACGGTCCGAAGTGGTGGCTACGCTCAGCGCGCTCCTTGGAAACAGCGGCGGTGTCAGTGAAGCGGACAGCCCTCACCCGCACGTCCTCCCCCAGACCCGCGCCCTTAAACTGACTGCTCCGCAGACAAACCGACAGACACACAGTGCGTCGGTGCGAAGCCTAACCGACCGACGGACAGAGGGCGCCTCGGCACAGCGCATTGCCCGCAGCACCTGCCTAGAGACACCGTGGCGGAGGCTGCAGGGGCGGAAGTGCGTCACCGCCTTTCCGGCCCTCGAACCCGTTGCCCGCTCTAGCGCGCCCGCTCTAGCACGCCCGGAGGCCGTCTCTGCGTGTCGTTGGTCCTTCCGAGCCTCTCAGTCCTGCTTGGAACTCTGTGCCAACCCTCCTACGGAGCTGCGGCCCTGATTGGGAAGGCTGAGGCGTGCCGCAGGGCTCCCGGGGCTCGCTCTGGGTCGCTGGCCACTCGGGAGGGTTGGCCGGACAGCCGCGTAGGCCGATTTCCCCGGGGCAAGCTAGCCTCCGCCCGGTGAGAGCCAGTAAAGACTGCCCCGGCATCAGGCCCTGCTCAGAGCAGTGCAGCGCAAGAGGTCAGAGCTCCAATTCGCCCTGAGCCGGCCGAGCCTGCGCTGTGCTGAAAACGCTTCCCCCTCCTCCAAGCCCTCTAGCCACATTGGCGCCAGAGTGGATCTGGACCCGTTCCTTGAACGGCCTGCCACCTACACTGAGCAGCACGTCCCGCATGCTCCCCGACCTCCACGTCTAGCCCCACCACCACACAGCACGCGCCGAGCTGGCTTTGTCTTCCTACAGGCTTCCACTTAATTACCACCTAATCAGTGTGGCTTTCCTGACTCCCCACCCCACTTCCCTCTCTGCTCCTCTCACTTGCAACACTTACAACAATTGTAATTAGAGCGTTGTCTAGGCAGTGATTTCATATATTTTCCCCTTCCTTAGACCATACACTCCCAATAGGGCAAGGGACCGTGTCTCTCTGATTCGAGGTTGGTTATAGCAGCAGTTCTGGCCGTAAGTGTCCAGTAAATATCTGTTAATGAGTAGATGGGGCTGTTCCAAGGAAGGAGGGAATGAATAAGTGTAGGTGAGAATGAATGTAAGGTGATGCTGCGATCCATTAAAAACTGGGGAACAAAGTTCAACTCATGGAAGTTGGCCCACAATCTCTGACTGTAGATTCTAAGGCGGAAGAGATACTGACTACTTACTGTGGTTGTCCTAAGCAATCAGAGAGGACTTCCTGGAGGCAGAGTGTGGACATTTCCAGCTCCCCACAAAGGGGAGCTGCACAAGGCAAAGAGAATTCACTCTAGAGGGCATGTGGAAATCTGAGGAAACAGAGTCCCTATTTGTGGGTCACTTAGTAAGTTAAAGAGTAACCTGGGGGTTATCAGAACTAGTTGAATTGAGACTGAACCTCACGTTATTGCACGTAATGGCCTTAGAGTCAATGGCACGGCTTTCTCCTCGGGCCTGCTGGCAGGGACCTGGTCTGACACCTCACAGAAGGTCCCCAGTAAATGGTCAGCTCACCTCACCGAAGCCCGGACAGCTGTGAGATAAAGTCCCCACTACACTCTGAACCTACATCCTCATCATGAAATAAAGCAATTGGTTTGAAGTCCTTATCATCTCTGACATTTCATACTTGTAAGATCCCCAATCTGCCCTTGCTGGAGAAGTGTGCAAGCCAATGGGGCCAGGAGGCCCCAGGTTCAGGGACTGGAGTCTGAACCTCTGCTTGAAGTGTCGCCAATCTGGGAGGCTCTGAGGATCGTTTAAAGATGAGGAAGGGAGAGATATGAAACTTAGTAAGTGCTTGGTGCATTTCTACTGAATGAGCTAACTAATGAATAAATGAATGTATGAGAAAATAAAGGTGTGAATGGTCAGTAAACCATGCGGGTGGAGCGGGATCAAAGAAAGCTTTGTAGACTCATGCTGGAGCTGAATCTGAAAAGATCAGAGCAAATCCTAAGCTGGTGAGGGGACTGCGACCATAGCTAGAGGCTTCTTTCTGGGCTTCCTTCTGGTCCCACCCCTCTCCTCCCACCAGGTTGCAGCAAGTGCTAAATCTAAGAGAACACTTTGCCCCCAGGTACTGTCTTGCCAGGGTTATTTAATAGAACTTACAGCTACAGGGCAAGGTCCAGGTGGACAGACCTTTTCATCCCCAACTTGTCACAGCCTCTCAAAAGCTCTCTGGCACCCCCACAGAACAGTGTGTCCAGAGCTCAACCTGGAAGAGCACAGCCATGGTGCTCTGCGGTCTGGTGCTGGGAGCCCTGCTGGTGGTCACCGTGGGGTGCCTGTGTCTGCTGGGGCTGCTCCGGCGACGCAGGCCCCAGGAGCCCCCTCTGGATAAGGGCTCCATACCCTGGCTGGGCCATGCCATGGCTTTCCGGAAGAACATGCTTGAATTCCTGAAGCACATGCGGGCTAAGCATGGAGATGTGTTCACAGTGCAGCTAGGGGGCCAGTACTTTACCTTTGTCATGGACCCCCTCTCCTTTGGCCCCATCCTCAGGGATGCACAGAGAAAACTAGACTTCGTGGAGTATGCAGAAAAACTGGTGCTAAAGGTATTTGGATACCATTCGGTGCAAGGAGACTACCGGATGATACACTCTGCCAGCACCAAGTACCTCATGGGGGATGGCTTGGAAGATCTCAACAAAACCATGCTGGACAGCCTGGCCCTCGTTATGCTGGGGCCCATGGGCCAGAGTCTGGGTTCTGGTTGCTGGCGTGAAGATGGCCTCTTCCACTTCTGCTACAATGTCTTGTTCAAGGCGGGCTACCTGAGCTTATTCGGCCATACAAAGGACCAGGAGCAGGACCTGCGACAGGCAGAGGAGTTATTTGTCCAGTTCCGCAAGTTTGACAACTTGTTCCCCAGGTTTGTTTATTCCTTGCTGGGGCCCCGGGAGTGGCTAGAAGTGGGCCGGCTCCAGCGTCTGTTCCACAAGACACTCTCTGTGCAGCACAACTTGGAAAAGAATGGCATCAGCAACTGGATATCCTACATGCTTCAGTATCTGAGGGAGCAGGGAGTAGCCCCAGCCATGCAAGACAAGTTCAACTTCATGATGCTCTGGGCCTCCCAGGGGAACACGGGCCCAACCTCTTTCTGGGCCCTCTTGTTCCTGCTAAAGCACCCAGAAGCCATGCGGGCTGTGAGGGAGGAGACCACCCAAGTCCTGGGAGAGGCCAGGCTGAAGGCCAGGCAGTCCTTTGACCTTGACATCAGTGCCCTGCACCGCACTCCAGTGCTGGACAGTGTGATGGAGGAGACGCTGCGGCTGCAGACTGCACCCACCCTCCTCAGGGTGGTGCACAGTGACCACGTCCTGAAGATGGCCAATGGACAGGAGTACCTGCTCCGAAGCGGAGACATTGTGGCCCTCTTCCCCTATCTTTCAGTGCACATGGATCCTGAAATCCACCCGGAACCCACTGCCTTCAAGTATGATCGCTTCCTCAATCCCAATGGTAGCCGAAAAGTGCACTTCTGCAAGGCAGGCCAGAAGATCCACCACTATACCATGCCGTGGGGCTCAGGTGTCTCCATCTGCCCTGGGAGGTTCTTGGCCATCAGTGAGGTGAAGCTCTTTGTCCTGCTCATGGTCACATACTTTGACCTGGAGCTTGTGGACCCTGACACACCTGTGCCACCCGTGAACCCCCAGCGCTGGGGCTTTGGCACCACCCAGCCCAGCCATGACGTGCGCTTCCGTTACCGCCTGCGACCTACCCACTGAGCTCTGCCAAGGTGGCCGCGAGCCTGTCCTCAAGACGTCCCTTGGGGGTCTCCACCTCCTCCAGCCCCTCTGAAGGCCCACTCTTGCCTCGGATTCTGTGGCATCCCCTACCTCTGTCCTGGTCACCTTCCTTAGCTCTCTGACTTCTCCCAAACTTAGTTTGGGAAATAACGTGTACCTTGACAAGTCCTGCAGTACAGAAACTGGTTATCGTGAGTAACGCAGTGTCTTGCAAAAATTACCCTCCATCCTCCCACCTCACTTTATTATTTTCCTCAGTGCCTATTCCACATCCTGTGGAATTCAGGTTCGTCCAGAGCAATACAAGGCAAGCCACGTGTGTAATTTTTCATTTCCTAGTTGACACATTTTTTAAAAAAGCAAAAAGAAACAGGTGAAGTTCATGTTTATATTTAACTGAGCCTAATATATCAAAAATATTAGCATTTCATTATGTCATCAATATAAGAATATTAGTGAAATAATTTTACGTTTCTTTTTCTTGTGTTGCCTTCAAAATCTGGCGTGTACTTTTTCCCCTTGCAGCATGTCTCATTTCAGACCAGCCGCATTCTAAGTACTCAACAGCCACATGTGGCTCTTGGCTCCCGAATTCGTAGAGCAGGTCTGGAGACATGGTGCCTTTCATGTAGGAGTTATTCAAGGTCCCTGATCTGTGCCCTTGTCCCCCCTCCACACCCGCGCCCCAGGGTGATCTCACCCCCTCCTCTGGTTTCCACAACCATTGCTGAGCTTGGAGCCCTCTCCTACTTCCAGACCCTCATCCTCCCCACCGGGGTCCCACAGCCCCTCTGACTCAGTTTGGCTCACGCAGAACTCAGCATCTGTCCCCCACCTCTGCCCTGAACCACCCCCTTCTCCGGATTTCCCCGCCTGTCTCTGCTCAGGACACCACCACCCACCCCATCCGCCAAGACAGACACAGAGGAGACACCCTCATCTCCCCCACTCCCACCCACAGTCATGCCCCAGTTCTGTCAGTTCAAGCCCCTGCAGTGTCTCTGAAACTGTGGCCTTTTCCCCACCCCACTGCTGTTCCTCGAGCTCAGCACTCTGCCTCTCTCCACACCAGGCCTGCCTGGCCCTCTGTTCACCCCGACCTTTCTCCAAACCTTTCGCCTCTGATTGTCATTCTCTCATTTTTCTGGCTCCCCATCCCTCCACACACCTAACATTTAAATTTTGCCACAGTCGGTCCCCAAATTTTCAGTCCAGTGCAATTCAACATTGCCAACTTTGTCTAACGGAGTGGTCTGTAAAGTAGAGTGGCTTGCTCTAACGGCCGCCCCTGGTGCTGGCTACTCCTGGAAACCTTCCTGGATCTCCCCCCTTCGATCCCCTGCCCCAAAACGGACTCCATCCCTGAGGCTCCCCTAGCCCTGTTTGCATCACAGCACATCTGTTATGTGTCATCGCTTTCTGTGTCCTGCTCTCGTCCTCCTGGCCCCTCCCTCTGACTGGAGCTTATAGGGCTTGGTATCTTATTGCTCCATCTCTGACCCCCAATTCCCTAAATGGAGATTAAATGATAGAAAATTGACTCCATCTCAGCCATTTTACTTCATGTCCTCAAATCATTTCCTTCCCCACCCTGGCCTCACTCAGCTTTCTGGCATGCGAAAGGGAGACAATCCCATTGCCAAGCATGCTTACCAGGGCTGGGAGAGGGGAGAGTGTGTTGCTGCCAGAGGCCAGCTGCCCGGAACAGGAGGGGCAGAGGCCGTGGGAGCTGGCAGAGGGCCCTGGAGAAGGGGGGCCAGGCAGCATAGACCCCTGCAAGGATGCCCAGTGGGGCTTCTCTCTTACTCATCTATCCCACATCTATGACTGGCCTCTTCTATTTGTTTTTGAGGCTGGCTGTTCTGTCCAGAGTTTTGCCAGGATAATAGGCTGTTGGAGTATCTCAGGTAGGGGCTGGGGCTGGAGGCAAGAGTCTGTGCCCACCAGCTGTGTGACTCTGGGCCAGAGTCTGCCTTTCTCTGGGTCTAGGTGCCCCCAAATGATGATGTCTGTCTGGAGCCTGACAGAGCTCTGACTGGCTTGGAGAAGCCAGTTTATCCCATCCTGCTCCGCAAGGGGCCAGGAGCACAAAAAGAGTCACATAGGGAGCACAGGAGAGGGCGAAGGGGACTGAGAGGCTGGGAGCCACCATGGGAAGCTTATCAACGAGCCTCTCCCGGCTCTCCACACAGCCAGGCCTTGTGCTGGAGCAGGTATTGGGATCGGGGCAAAGATGCAGGGCCTTCACACACTCCTGGGCCCTGCCCAGACCTAGGTGCTATATCCCCTCCTTTTCCCCATACCCAGAGAAATCTGGACCAGGGGCCTGACCTGAGGGCCCAAGTCCATTGAGTCAAGAACAAGAGGTCTCAACTGAGAGCGACTTCATGTAGATTTCCCAGGAACTTCACGTTTGAGGGTATGCCTGGGACCAAGGGAACCCTCAGTGGGTCAGGTTGAGGTGAATACAAGTATACCATCCCACAGTCGTCGATATCCACCATAACAACAGGCCTCCCAGGAAGGGGTGAGTGCCCAGGAGTAGAGTGTGCACACAGAAGCCAAGGCCGACCTGTGGGTAAGGGAGGGGTCCATGGCACCTGTAGTCCTACGCGCTTCGCATGGACACACTCTCTACAAGGGCTACCCTTCCTTCCCTACCAGGGCCCTTGAGGCAGTAGGAAGACTGAGGCCCCCGAGGGTACACCTCGTCACTACCTGTTCTGACACAACAGTCCCGACCCCCAGTCCGCACTGCTGCCCCAGATTTCCTTTCCCTCAAAGAAAAGCCCACTATGTGTATTCTCTGACGGTAGTTACAGCAAAGCAAGATCAGGGATGACATGCCAATGGTGAAATTGTGGGCACCAGGGAAAGAAAAGAAGTTTTTGTTTTGTTTCAGTTTGTTGTTTTCCCTTTTTTCCATAGGTAGTAACAGCTGTAAACCCTCAAACCTTCACAGAGTAGAGCCATGCCTGTCCTTCTCCCTGGGTCAGCCAGGGGAAAGTCCATCTTGCCCCATTATCTGAGGGCCAAGAGAATCCTGGGAGCTTTCCTGGAAAGGTCTGAGCAGTGCAGCCAGGGAGCCAGGCCTTTGGGCAGATGGAGAGCAGCAGGAGGGACCAACATCCAGGGAAATAAGGTCAGGATGGAGGGGGCTCTGTCCTGGCCTGGGCTGTGAGAGCCCACCTCCAACTCCCTCCCTGACCGGTGCCTTCTGTGCTGTAGTCAGAGGCCTCGATATGGTCAGCAATGCAGTCAGTGGCAATGAGGACAGCGAAAGGGATCAATGGGTCACCTGTGGCCAGCCCTTCTCCTCCCCCTTGGGCACAGGCCTCAGGGCCCTTCTTATATACCTGCTGTTTGCAGAGAGCACATACCCACACTTACACAGCTAAAGAAAGACACATAGGAACACACAGAAAACCTGTGGGCACAGACCCAGACCCATGTGGACATAGTGACATATTCACGTTGGACCCACATACACAGCCATATGTACTATGCACAGCCCACACGGCAACACAACCCTGTTGGTACAGTCAGGCTGCTCGTTGGGCAGATTTCAGGACCTCTAAAATAGAACCCATCCTCCACATCCTCAAGCAAATCACCACCTTCAGAGCCAAAGCTTCATTTCCTAGGGCACCATGGGAGCTCAGAGTCCTTCGTGACAGTGGGAGTCTGGGGCCTTAGGAGAGAGAATTAAAGGCACAAGAGCTGAGCGAGATGGAGTCGAGGGAAACAAAGAATGAAAAATCAGCACAGTCAACTCTGGCAACATCCAGGGACAGCCCTTCTCGTGACACACGGGCTGTGACTAGAGCATCCGAAGTTCAGGGGAAGCAAAGAAAGAATGGCAGGATATTGACCACCTGCTCCATTCTCTATTGATCCAGTCATTCATTAAAAAAAAAAAAAAATGCTTAATGAGCCTCCGCTGTATTCTAAGCACTGACTTAAGCACAGGGGATATCGATTTAATACATGGCAAGTCCCTGCTCTCCTGGAGCTTGCATATACCCAGCCCTGTGTTCTCTTGTCCTCCAGTCTATCCACCTATAAGTTTCCTTCCGTGCATATTACCTTCTGCCAGGCTCTGTGCTGGGTTTTTCAGGACCAGCACAGCAGGATGTGGGCAGGTTATACCAGGTGGTTTTGGTAGGTGCGGAAAAGCAGTGAGTGCTTTAGAAGCTCAGGAAAGAGAGATGTCACTGTGTGCCAGGAGCTCCCTGGGGAAAAGTTTTCAGTGGCCAGGGAGGATGCTAACTGTTGGAGACATGAAGAGGGAAGCACCCGGGCAGGGTATATCAGCCAGGAATCCTTGGATTGCAAGTAACAGAACATCACCATGTGAAGGAATATATTGGTTCATGTAACCGTCAAGTCCACGACTGGGATGAGCTTCCGCCTAGATTCTGGGACTTCCACACTGCCCTCGGGGTCTGCTCACTCACAGTGCTATCACCTCACCCTCTGAAGTTCGAGTTGATGAAGGAGCACCCCCACACTGCACATCCTCTTGGCTTCAGTCTCATGCCTCTGTTCTAGCATGTTCTAGTTGCCGCATTTCACAAGCTCTACCTGGGTCCTGTGCCCATCCTAAATGAATCACCATGCCAGGAAAAAGTAAGGCTGTAACTGGCCGAAGTCCTGTGCTCTACCTGAACTCCACCCAAAGCACAGGGCAGAGTAAACAACGGGAGTGGTTTTCCAGAGCAAGCAGAATTCCATGACAGAACAAGGATGAACGATCAGCTGGCTGAAAAGTGACCCCTGTTACACAAGAGAGCGGGCAAGCACAAAAACACGGAGGTGGGAACGCGCAAGAAACAAGGGGTGCCTGGTGTCCAGGAAATGAAAAGTAATGAAGGCGTATAAGGGTAAGCTGTTGTATGGGATTCTCCTTGTGAAAGCTCAAGCCTCGAAGCTGGACAGACTTTGGACTTGATTGTGCAGGCCCCAGGGACCCCCGAAGGCTCCAGGGAGGGGGCATGGGAAGCAGAGGGAGGATGAGCCTCCTGGACTGTTGGGAACATGTGTTCACTCTGCCTCGCACCTGCCAACTCTCACGTTCTGGGGAAGTTCCCCACGTGGGGCACTTCCAGCCCCTCCTGCTCGCCAGCCTCTTGGAGCCACCATCAATGCTGTGACATTAAACAATATTGCAGCAATATTTCCCCAGCTGAGCTCCGGGGAAGGGAGCCGACTGGTGGGTGGCAAGCCTTGGGCTACTCTGAGGAAGACGGAAGTGATGGCTGAGGGTGAGGTGATCGTTCTGGCTGGTGGGCATGGATTAGATGACAGGAGAGCATGACGACAAGAAGCACAGAGGTCAGTTGGGAAACTACT